ATTTTGCAGACATGGCCTTAATATTTTTTATTAACACACATTTTTATAGCCAATGCAAAAAGATGTGCTGCAATAATTGCTTGTTCTTGGAATTTTTAAAATGTAATATTGAAGAAAGCAGGCAGAAAGAAAATGCCAGGTATTCCAAGATGGAAGTTCAGTATAAAAGAATTCGGATTTTTATAGACGTTTCACTTTGCAAAATAAGTGTGTTGCCAGCTTTATGGCCATTTTGAAATAACATAGCATACAGTGTTTTATCATAAGTAATTACTATTTTTAGAACAAAGAAAAAATCTGATGTGTACACGACATGACTTACTTGTACGGAATATTAAATTATACGCATTTTTTCTTGCATTTCATTTAAACTTATTGGATTGAATTAAATCTACATTGTCAATAGCGCAAAAACCACAATAGAATAAATGCACTCTTTAAAATTCACTATATTTGTTTACCATAGCGACACTTTGGCGTTCACTTAACCCTCTGATGTGCACATTATTTTTATAATTTTTTTAACTAAAAATTTTAGAAATTGAATATTATGATCCTAGAGACAAATAATATATGAATTTAAAAAAATCTACTCTTGCCCATTGTTCTGTGGGTAGTGGTCATGCTGTGAAACCACTGTGGGTAGTGGTCACGCGTCTAGGACTTTGAAACTTACTGGGGGAAAAAACTTACCTTTCTCCGTGCGCGTTTCAAATAAATGGCGAAATTTACGAATTTTAAAAAAATGTATGCAAGAATTGCATTATGTATAATTTTTTTTTAATTATTTTACAAAGTAAATCATCAGAAAAAATAAACATTTATGTAATTTTTCTACAGCAGTGAAAATATAAGTACCTACATAATAAGGACAATTGGCTAAATGTATAAAAAAACTCAATAAAATAAGGATAAGAAAAAGTGTTTTTTTCTATTTCAAAGAACAAATTTTTTTGTGATGCTGTTCAAAGCATGTTCTGTCTTTTTGGTGCATGCATAGACCCAAATTGCGAGTTTCGCACATATATCTACTATGAGGTTTCTTCCTTGTGCTACAAAATGCACACTGCCTGGATCTAAATTTCACTAGTATGTGCCCAGTGTTATTTAGTTTCTTTTGATTTGGCACATGAAATTTGTGGTTTTTTATGTTAATGAAGAACAAATTTTTTTTTGTGACGCTGTTCAAAGCGTGTTCTGTCTTTTTGGTGCCTGCATAGACCCAAATTGCGCGTTTCGCACATGTATCTTCTATGAGGTTTCTTCCTTGTGCTACAAAATGCACACTGCCTGGATCTAAATTTCACTAGTATGTGCCCAGCGTTATTTAGTTTCTTTTGATCTGGCACATGAAATTTGTGGTTTTTTATGTTAATGGAATGGGCCTTGGTTTTTTTTTTGGCTTTGCTTGTACGGATCGTTCGTTTCTCCAATTCATTCCTAATTTCGTCGTATTTCGCCCCAAAATATTCAGAGAAATATTTTTAATTTAAATAAATCTTTACGAGATTTTTATTTTTAATTACAGCAAAGTATATTTACATTAAAATTTAAACCACAGGAAATAATTTAAAAAATCACAATACTAGCTTGAGGAGCAAGTGTGTTGAGGTCAGAGAAAAATCACTGGAAAGAAAGACCTTTTTACTGGACATGTATTGTTTAGTAATAAAATAACTGTGGTTTCAAAACCCCTTATCTATATCCGGGTAAAAATAAACATTCCTATTTGAGAAGCAAGTAAACGCCATTGTGAAGAGCAGTGGTTTCAAGGCGCGACCACAGAGCCTCTAGAGCACTGTGAGACAATGCACTAGTGGCACAGTTGTAGCGCTCTGAAACCCCAAAGCAAATGCCATGCATATAGAGGTTTTTTTTATATATTATATACAGTTTAATTATTGCTATTTTTTATTGTTTATGATAGAAATCATGATTTGCAATGAATAACTTTTGAAATTTAAAGATGTTTATATTAATAAAGGAAGTTATTTTGTCTCATTGAAAACGAATTTTAAAAGACATCCGATTTGAAGTACTAAGACCTAAAACATGTATGAATCTGCAGTCATTTTGTGTTATTTAGAGGTAAAAGATCAGTAATCAATTGATTTTCACTAAAAAATTTCAGAAAGAAGAGAAAAAATTCGAAAATTGGTGGTTTCAGGGTGCGACCATCGCGCGTCAAAGGTTTAACAGCGTTATATTTCGTTCAATTTTTAACTCAGAATGCACAAAATTTATATCATTTGAAGAATTATCTAATCATTGCCACATGTTCTATTCAAATAGTACTATAATAAATCTAGAACGATGTATAAAAGAAATTAAGCAAACAAAAAAGAAACAGTTTTTCACAGATGATTTAGTTATACTTCATTCAATTAATTCAGCTCTCACTTTGCAACAAGGCAAGAATACATAAAAACTCAAAATATCTATATTAAAAATTATGAAGTAAATCTTAAACATTTATTTCCTCGAAAAAATTCCAGAAAGGATTAAGCATAATTTAATTCGCAATAAAAATGAGGGCATTTATCTTTGTTCTTGCGAAGCACTTAGTCTTTCTAGATTGGCAACAAATCTACTATTCTGCTGTTTTAAATGTAAACAAATATGTCAGCCATGTTATTTAAAAATTAGGCTTGACTGCACTTAAACAACTTTTAAATTGTTGATAATTGTACAAATATTGCTTGCAGATTTACTAAAGGCATTAAAACCTTAAACGGAAGATAAGAACAACATGATTCAATCATTTCTAAAGCAAAAAATGCACAATTTACAAACATAAAACTAAAGTAGAGTAAAGAAACTGAGATCACTGAGCCAAGTAACAGAGTGAATATATATATATATTTATATATATGTTTAGTGCGGCCGATTGTTACCAGAATACGAGGTGCACATCTACATACGCACAGATGCCATGAAAAATTATCTTTAGAATTCATTTTAAAGCAGTTTTGTAATTTTTTTTGGAGGAAGTCTTTTATTGTGTCCTTACGTACAGATGTCAACGCAAAAACATTGTTAAATTGCATTCGATAGTGGTCAAAATGGATATTTTTGTTGAAATATGCTGCCTGAAACTTTTCGCAATTACAATACTTCCTTTTTACTTCGTACAAGGAAGTAAAAACACCTTAATTAAAAGAATGCTAGACACTATTACAAATTGTAGTTAGAATTTGCTTTACATACATTTTATTTTAAATATCCCCCCTTTCTGTGTGATATACATGAAAAGAGACACTTTCAATTATGGCTGTTGTGAGAATTTGCACATATTATTTCTGAACAAAACAATTCTTGAGAACTACATTCTTATTGTAAATTACACTTATCAATAGGCACAATCTGGGCACCTGTTCTTTATCACATTTGAACTTTTCTACATCTTGTCATGCAAAGAGAGATGCCTGATCCGACTTGGAACTAAACTAAAAGTATCCATTTTTCTTTATTCTCATTTCTAATGAAGGTTGTTTTACAGCTACAAGTTTTAACAGCTATAATTTAAATGTTTTCTAGCTATTTACAAACTATTAAAATATACTGAAACATATGACATAGCCATCAGAAATTGTTAAGTCATAGTTCTCAAAAGACTTCCCATTATCTAGATTAGATATTAAAGGTTTTGGCTTCGATTGATATCTTATTTAGCTATTTGCATCAGAGTGTAATTCATATGGCATGAATTAATTTGGAAATGATGCAATTTACAGTCACTGTTTCCAAAAAAAAAAAAAAAAGGCCAAATTAAAATAGAGAGTAAAGAGGCTTTTGCAAATTAAAATTTTTCTTTACCTATTTTTTATTTTGTAAATATATATATTAAAATTTTGAAAATTAGGTTCTTAATATTTTCATTTCAAAACCGTAGTCATGGATTAGAAAAATTGAATTTCAAAACTGATGCAATTTTTTGTGTGTGTGCATGAGATGAGAAGAGTTTAGAAGCAGCATATGAAATATTCTCGTAGAACTAGATATTTGTAGCAAAACATCACTATAACAAACAAAAATTATTAACAATATGGAGGTATAAATTACCAAAACCCTTCTTAGTTTCTAGTATTCAAAAATGTTTGAAATTTTATTATCTTCTATATTCTTAATCATCTGATTGGAACTAAAATTTACAAAACTGACTTACAGTTGCATATTAAAGTCTGGTAAGATACGTTAAGGGTTTATCAGCAACCCCTATACCAACAACGTTAAATTGGCCATTTTTGATGTACCTTTTCTCAAAATCTGCTGTAGATACATGCTTGAAATTTTTTGTGTAATAAAAAAAAAAAAAAAAAAAGGCCAAATTAAATTATACCTATCTGATTATACTGAAATGAGCTTTTGAAATATTTTGAATTTTAGAGTAATTACAGAATATTTGTTAGGCATAGTAAATTAGCACTTTTCTCACACAAAATTTAAAAAAAAAATTTTTTTTTCTTATTTTATCACAAAAGCTCATTTCAGTAAATATTAGGAAACCTAATAACTAAGCCATAAAAATTTTAGATACTTGTGAGAAGTAGTTCCTGAGAAAAGGTACATAGAGTATTAAAAAAAAAAAAAAAAAAACCACATTTTTATGTAAAAATCCTCATTTATCCAAGCATTATATGACAAATTAAAACTAGATTTTTTACAGTTCTAGTTTTCATAGAGATTAAAGAATGCTATTTTTAGAAAGATAAAAGTGTACAGAATTTGAAAATGCAAAAATCCGAAATCACCATATTTTGAAGATTTTGGGGTTCTAACACCCCATAAGTCTTGCATAGCGTAAATGATATGCTTGAAAGTTGATTTTCATATAACTTACATCAATTATTTTACTCAAATAAAAGAGTTACAATTTCATATCTATTTATATGAAATATGATTTATGTGAAATTTCGTTTTCAGCACGACATTTCTAAATTTTATTTATTGTACTTTTCCAACATATATAAATGAAATAAGAGTCATGACTCGACAAAGGATGGCCTATTAAATTGAAATTTATTTTTACATCATTACAAACACTGACTTTCACAGTTTTTCTGCTGCTGGTGATTGGGCAGTTAAGCACTATCTTAATCTGCTGGAACAAACTCGTATTAGTTTTAAAATGGTATAAAATCTCACTTTTATATAAATCATGTACAAACTGACAAATTTGTAGAAAAAACATATAAAAATGGCATAGATACAGCTTAAGTTTAGTAAAACTAATTCAAAAATTGTAAAAATTACTACATACCAATATAAAACACAAATACAAAAACAGATTAATTATCAATGCTAAGAGACTTGTATAATTAAATTCAAATTGGAATGAGAGTAAATGCATTTCTTAATTATTAGAAACACTTTAATTCTGTTTTACATTATAGTAGAAATGGAAAGTAATTCATATATTTATCACAAATTTATAAAATACAAAAAGGTAGTCTATCCAAGTTGGCACAAACAACTTTGCCAGCAAATAAATTATGCAAACAAGGAACTTGATAGTGTATCTTAGGCTATTAAAAAGCAATACAAAGATCATCTCAAACAAAGTTCTAATGTGAACATATAAAAAATATATGTTTTGGCAAAAAAGAAATGTGTCATTGTTAAATTATTGACATCCGTGTCTTTGGGAAAGAAGAAAATTGTTACTACAAACACACTTAACATTTATGTGAGCAAGACTGTCTCAGTTTTCATGCAGATAACAAATTAATATTCCCATGTTGTAGCTGATTCAGGATCTGAGCCTCCGACTTTAAACAGACCATTTTTCTCCGCAACTATGTAATTCCCGTTGGAAGTCTTGATGCAAAGCTTCGAAGGTTCACGTAGCTCAATGTAAAATCCTTGACTGCTTGCTTCTGAATCTACAGATATAGTACCATCCGCATTTGCATACCAATATTTTCCATTATTTCCTGTTAAAATTATATAATATATAACAACATTTTCACACAGCATACTATAGGATGCCCACAAAGTCTTAGAACAACTTTACCCTATTATTATTACCCTGTAAGAGGTAGTGTTGTAAATTTGTGATATTATTTATTACATGTACATCAAAAGTTTTTCAACATTTTGTTTTGGTTTGATATACACATAATATGTGGATTTGGGGATCTAAAAATCTTCATGTCACGAGGGAGTTGAAGTGGGACAGTACAAAATTGAATGTTTGACATGGGATGCTGCATGATGATATTTTAGGATCCTTTTTCTTCAATGGAGAAACAATAACAGAGTTTACCTTGATACATTGATTTTGTTACATTTGACTATTAAAGGAGTAAATTGGAGGCCATTTTGTTGCATGTCGACACTGTGCAATTTGTGTCAAAGAAGAACAAGTTGTTCAGAGACTTTGTGGATAAACTGTATATTAAAAATCTGTACTTCCTTATTATTACAGCCCCTTTATTTGAACCATGCCAAGATATCTTTTGTTAACAAATTGTGCCAAAACTGCAAACTTACTCAGAGCTCTTTTCATGATAGGCAGACTCTTAAATGAATGTAGTATGGACTGGCAGCCATTTGACCACATTTTGCAAAGGGCTTTCTGGTACCATTTAAGTTAGAAGGGCCATAGTAATAAAATACACTGTACCAAAAAAATGGGGGGAGACAGCTCTATATCTTCCATTTTACTGGGTTGATTGACTAAATTCAACTTGCGTTTTTCATGTCTTGAAAGCGCGACTTAGGATATGTAGTAATTTTATATATATATATATATATATATATAGCATTGTTGTTATATAGGTATTTTGACACAAAATAAAATCTTTTCTGAAATGACATGCCAATTTTTTTTCCATATTTTGATTCTATGACTCAAATTATGCTCAATGCAAAATCCTTATCAAAAAATCATATATCATATATCTTAAAATCATATATCTGTGCGTGTGTGTGATTATGGCAAAGCCTCGAGGGCTATCTGCCTACGAGAAGGGATGCCTTTGTAGAGGACTTTCTAAGGGAAACTGGCTCGTATACACGTTACACATGGGGAAAAACCATGAAAACGCCCATGCAGCCAGCCCGTTTGCGGGACTTGAACCTCGGACCGAACTACCAGTGTTCATCGACTTTACCACTCGGTCACCTGGTGGGCACCTAGCATATATTTATTAATCTTTCTTTTTTTATTAAACTTATTTGATTCTTCCTTTCACATTTCAAAATTTAGGTTCATTCCAAATAAAATTCACCCATTTTTTATAATTTATTTCTAAAATTTATATTTTAAATAATTTTTATAAAATTTGATTAAAATCTAAAAAATTTTTACCATCATCTGAAAGCATATGCATTTCTAAGGATACCTGCAAAAAATGAGTTTATTTAAAATTTCCAAAGATATAGATGAATATTATAATATATATTGGCACATTTTGAAAACTGGAATATTTGTTGAAAGCGATAATAACATCAAATGTGGTTTTAGGCACTTTATTAAAATTATTTGCAAGTAGGAACAATATGACTTTTTTCCGCTCATGCACGATCTAAAAAGGGAAAGGAAAATAGTTTGCCATACATTAAGAAGTTTGCCAAATGAATTATTCTTGGCATAAACTGAAAAAAAGGTGGCAAGATAAGGAATTTTTCTGTAAATTTCGCATCAAATTTTACAAAATTCAATATCTAGGCATAATTTGAGTCGTAAAATCAAAATTTGGATAAAATTGGCATATCATTTCAGAAAAAGTCTGAATTTGTGTCAAAGTACCTATATTAGAACAATGCTATATATAAATCTATTATACATTCCAAGTCGCAATTTCGAGACAATGACAAATGCAATTTGAATTCTCACCAATTGGCCCAATAGAAAGGGAGATTTTTTTTTCCCCCTTTTGGCACAGTATACCTTAAAATCTCTACAAAATATTGAAGGCAATGTTAAATATAGGTAGTATGATAATACAGAAAACTATAAAATATTGGTTCCATAATTTGATTTCACTAATTAAAAGAATAGTTAAGGCATTTCATCTTTTCTCACAATATGAATTAAATCTACTTACCTTGATGGGACATTTTTATTGAATATTTCATTATTTATTTATTAATTATTATTTTATTGGGGGGATCTTGGTCTAGTTCAATTAAGTCCTTTCCTACTTAGTCATGAAGAACTCATAAGGTATGTCAGTTAAAAAATACTTTTGATGAAAAGTGAAAATGTATTTATATTGGATATTAAAACAACTCATTGAAAATACTTAAGAATATTCATTTATCTTAGCTTTCTTGTTTAATTAATTAGCATGTATGTTATAAGCAGCAAGTGGTTATTTTAATATTATTTATCAAACTTATTCTAGCCAAAAAAGAATTTTGATACAATTTTGTACGTAGATTCTGACTAAAATTAAGGTACTTAGATATCTCATCGACTGTGAAAGTATCACCAAGCCGTGTGATTTAAGGCAGGTTATGGATAAGCGTCTACCTCATAATATCTGCACTTTCATTTGATGTAACTGCAACTGATTATTAAAAAACCCTGCTTTGTTTTTATGAATAAGGATACAAATTAACCATCACTACTGTATTTTTATTTTTCCTTTGCATTTTGGGGAAGGGGGAGGAATAATTAAAATTTAAGAGTAAAGATTTTACCATTAAAAGGTTCATATTAATGGATATGATATGGTCAGTTACATATGGGGAACAAAACAATAATAAATGGGAAGAGTTATCTGCAAGAAGTTCATACTCACTGCATTCTAAAATAGAGCTTCTGGTAAAATTGGAAGCAAACTGCTAACAAAACAGCAGAAATTGAACAAATTCTTTTTACAAAGTGTACTGACTGTTTATTAAATAAAGAGGCATTCGTTTCTTCAGAATTCTGTAAGAATGACTAATGCACCTTTGTGGGATTGCCGCCGACTTTCATGGTTTGATGATAGCCAACTTTCAAGTTCAACAGGATAATAAGTAAGAACCAGTTTTAATGTAGAATTTAATTCCATTAAACCTTTAATTTATTTTTATAAAATTTTGCTTATTATATACCTTTAAAGTAGCATATTCCTTTCTCGTCTCTTTCTATGAATATGGTTTCATAAGTGGCTTTATTGCACTCTAGCTTTGGAGAGGCAGCGCTCTTATATCCCACAAATCCTTGTTCGCATTTCAGCACAAGAGTATGGCGATTAATTAGATAGAAGTAAAACTTCTCCATGTCTTCTATTTTGTCACTGTTGGCATACAGATGGCCACTTTTTTTTGCTGCTACATACTTGCCATTGTTTGCTTTGAATGCCACACTGCCTTCTGGTAACCATTCTAAGGTGAAGTGTGCACTTGAAGGACTAGAGAAAAACCAAAAAATTTTAGTTTAACATAACACTATTATCTGTAACATGAAACAATATACATGAATTCATAGAAAATTAAATAATATCACACATTATCAATTATCAAATGAATTCGAAGTTTGAAGAAAAAATAATTTCTAACACAACATCATTTATGGGAAAATGCAGAAAATTAACATTCACCTTTCAAAGTTTTCTTTACACTGAAGTCATCTATTTTTAAATGTAAAGAAAACTGAAAATTTAATTTTGGGTACTTACTAAATATCAGTGCAACCATCTTAGTAAGCAGAAGTTGCCTTTGTAGAACACCTTAGTAAGATCACCAAATTTTCAGAATGTGCCAAACTGTGGCTGTCATGAGCATCTTTTTTTCGGTTTTAACGAGTAGCATCACTATTTTTTATACAAATTCTTTTTGTTGTATTCCAAGTTCTAATTTTTATTTTTAATGAAAAGTCATTTGACAATTTTTATAGATGAACCATCAGTCTTAATTTTAAAATATGCATTGATAGGATATGCCAGCAGTAAAAGGAAGTACAGTAAAATTTCTACAGGAATACAGTAGTATTTTGTAAAATTGCTACATAAAAAAAATGTTTAAATCCTTTCTTAGTGATTGCCACAGAATTTCGCGATTCCGGATTTGGGACTTTTCTGGATATTAGATCTTAGTTTAAATCTAGTAAAATGGCATGTAGAAATTAAAAAATTAAAAATATGAAATAATGAAGTATTTATGATCTAAAGGGTATCAAATTTCAAAAAAAAAAAAAAAAAAAAAAGCTTATTATTTATTTGTTTACCTTATTTCATTTTCTTTCAATGTAAGTTGTTCCGTTTTTTGTGCTAAATACCTTTCTCTTTAATTCTGTATACAGACATAATTTCTTGTTCAGTTACATTATTGGAAGTCCTGTACCTGCTATTTCGAGAATTCCATCTAACTTGTCAATCAAAATCTTCTCCAAATTCCTTTACAAAATCCGTTAATTGGAAAATTTCACCTTTGTTTTGCCTTTAAAATTAGCGGCTATCATCATCAAATTTAGCTGTCCTTCCCTATACATATTTGGCTATGCATCATGAGCTTGGCAACCAACAACACGTTCCATTAAATTTTATCTTGCTTCTATCGCACACGGAGACAATCAAGCCCGAATTTTATTAGTTTATTTATTTATTATACTTATGTCTATTTCTTGTACATGCTTATCAGAGTTCTGAATAAATAAATTCCCACATACACTTAAGCCTTATTAAGGGCCGGTGCTAGATATCTTACCGCCTGTAGTCTCTGTGGGTCCTAAATTCTGCGACTCCGTGCGGCCATACGAGCCCTGGTGCTGGTTCTGAATTTATGAGAATAACAAATCAGTTATTTTTAATTCAAATAACCCTAAATGTAATCCTTAGGTCTATGAGTATCATCAACAAAATCTTTTATGCTAAACTGTTTGTTTTTTCAATAACAATTTATTTTATTTAGTGTCAAAGTGAAATTAAGAATCGGGATTCTCCAGATGTTTTATGATGCGCCGAGGAGGGAACCAAATGTGCATGCGTAAAGCCTACGAGATACGTTGCCCTGAGAAATACGTTGTTGGTGGTTTTGAGGTCTGGATTTTAGATCATTCCAGATAATGGGCGTCGGGATTTCGGACTTTGTATTGAAATATCTTCATAAAACCTGATGGTTCAAACAATCATACAGCAGACCATAAAATTTAATGTATTATGTGTTATTGGAATTGACTAAATTTTCTTGGAAAATTCACTTTACTGTTCACAGAATGGATATTAGCCCTATACTGGTTTATTTACAAGTTACTGATGATTTTATTTCAATTGTTCAGATTTACTGAAACAGGAAAGACTTAGTTCAGTTAAATAATACACAGTGAAAAACACATTACTACTGCATAATTATATTTTATGAAAAAAGTATAGATTACTGTATACGTAAGAAAAAGACTGTGCATTCAATAGTTAGTTCCAGTGTATGACCGAAAAAGTTTGATGTCTACAAGCGTTTTAGCCTGCTCCTCAACTGTTTTGGCACATCAAGAGATCTAACGAACTTCAAGAAGTTTGCTAATCAAAGTAGCTCGATTCATTGTCCACTCGCCTAACAATTTGCCTGTCGTATGCCAAAGTCATAATTTTTTTATTCAATACTCTAACAATTTTACCTTAACACATAGCAATACAGCACTTTTCTTGTATTTATAATGGAATATTTACCTTAAGAACAAAACCACTTATTCTTAAATGCCTCTGTTGTTGATTTTCAAAGTCAATGCACAATTCTCTCATTCTCAGATTTTTCAATAAAAATTCATGCTTGGTAGATACACCATGTGCTGCACTAAGAAGCCAGTATTGATACAAAACCTCTGAAGCATCTTATTTTACTCTCATGTATATTTATGAATGCATATTTTCATTAAACACTTAGAATTTATTGTATCAAACGAGATTATTATCTACTTTTGAATGCAATGTTTAATCATAATAACTAAGCTAATAAATTTTACCATGTCAAGTATTTGTATGAATCCAAGATAAATGAAGTAAAAATAGAAATAAACTAAAATGCTGTTTATATATTTAATATTCTCAAAAAAGGTGTAGTAAACTTGAGGAAATGAACTGAATTGTATATATCTAATCAGCATTTTATTTAAACTACTCAAATCTCGCATAAATTTATTGCAATTCTATAAAACAATAATATTTTTATCATTTGCCAAAAATAATTTCCATACAATGTCTGAAAAACTATGCAAGTCACTTCATTAGATGAGGTTTTGTTGTATTTTGGAAAACTTAGAATTACATTTTAATATAACTTAACTGAACACTACACAAAGACACTTGATTTTGTGGCTGTTCTTTTTTTTTTTTTTTTTTTTACTAATTTTTAAAAGCAAAATATTTTTTGGACGGATTGCTAATTTTTAGAAACAATTGTTCAATGTTACATTATTTTACTAAATTTCATAGTTTAAACTAAATTTATTGTTAGCAGGCTGAAAAAGGTTACATTTGCAAAATTAAAGATGTTTTAAATTCATGACATAGTCTTTAAATTGCTAAAATTCTTTCAGATAATTAAAAATCAATAATATAAAATATATCTACCATCATATAATTCTAAATAATGCCATTTATTTAATAAAAATTTTAAATACTTTATTCAGAATTATAGCATTAAATACAGGTAAAAATTAGAACTAAAACATATACCCTTTGGAAGCATTAGCTTGAATACCACCACTACTATCAAGTGACCAGTATTTGTCTTGCATGGTCCGGATATGCCAGCTCTTTGTTTTTTCATTATATTCAAGCTGGAATGTTTCATGGTCAGATATCTCATCTTGATTGGCTGTGACATCAACACCTGTAACATATTTAACTTTTATATAATCAGGTATTCAACAAAATATTAAATTTTAAATCATTTCAAAATCAGATTCAAGTGTTTAAAAACTTGACATTTTTTAAATCAATGAAGGAAATCTTGTCAGGGAATTTCATATGCTTAACAAACTTTTTTTTTTTTACATATACATAAGGGGGAGGGGAATTAATTCATCAAGTCAGATTTAAAAAAATGTTGAAAAATCTGAACCTTACTAAGGCAGAATTAATTCAGCAAATATACAGCTTTTGGAATATGTTTCCATTTGAGAGCATTCACATATAAGCTCATATTTATATATTCTCTCACGAGTGACTTTGTTCATATTGCACATTCATAAATCTAATAAGTAATTTTATTCTGAACATTTAATTTTTTTATTGTAGCTACCATATCAAGAAATTTAGAAGAAATCAGAAGTGCACCAAATCATTTATTTACAATCGATAATAAAAAGAAATCTGTTTATAAAACTAAATGGATGCAGTGTTTGGGATAATACACAAGCAAGTTTGCAATCATAATAAACTACATAATTAAGTTACAAGATTTTAGTAAAAGCAGGGCTTAAATTTCTAAAATTGGAAGTGTCGGAGCTGTATGGAAGATTGCCAAGAAAAAGGCACAAAGAAATAAATAAAATGACTAATAAAATCATAAATAAATTAAATAAATAATTATTAAAATAATTTAAAATTACTAATTAAATAATTTTAAATAAAAATTTAATAAATCTTTTTTTTGATATAATTAGCCTGGAAGGGCTATTAGTCTCAAAACCCTGAATCACTTTTCAAATTGTTGTCACCAAATATTATACTTAAAGAAACTAGAAACTAAATAATGAAGAAGGTACATGAATGTATGTAGGTTTCTCCCTTTGTGAAAGCAACAGTACTTAGAGTCATCAAATTTTGAGTAACCAGTGGCGTAAATAAGGGTATGCAAGGAATGCCGTTGCATAGGAGCCTGTAGGGGGCCCTTAAATGTCCTGGTGAACTACATTTACATGTTTAAAGTTAAAAGTATCTTTTTCCCTTTCGCTTTTCATTTTTATTTTTAGAGTTTGTACTACTATAAATTCTTATTTTAATATAATAGAATTCGTCTTCTTTTAAGTTTTTAAGGGCCCTCTTCCTATATGGTGCAGTGACGCAGTTCCGTATAAGACGCAGAAAAGGGGCCCTTGGAAGCACATGAAACAGTTAAATTCAGTGTTTGCAAAAGTTAATATTCCATCATTCGACTATCAAATAGTAACTTCGTGACCTACCTCAGTTCAGGCATAGGAGTCAGCAGAAAATAGGAAAAGTTCCTTTGTATTTCTTAGTTTCTTACCGGAAAATTTTTAAAGGCGACCCCCTGAAGGAAAGGTTTCTCCCTTTGCAATCCCAATTCAACAGGGGGTGGAAGTGAAAATTAATTGTAACTATTTATTATAATGTAATTATTTTGTATATTAATTTATTTCTATATACTTTGTTATTATGATCGAATAATTAATAGACACATTTTCTAAGTATAAATAAAGAAGTAACTAAACAGGATTCTGGTACTTAATTTCGAATGACCTTTGCAAATTAAGAGGAAACGTGGTATATTATTTGCAGTTCGAAATTTTCATAATATGTCATTCCGAAGCGTTTAATTTTGTTCATATATTGAATCTGTTACTAGCACTTCCATTAAACCCAAGTCCAAAAATCAGGACTAATATTAAGCTTGAAAATTGAATTAATGTGAATGATTTTTACAATTTAATATAACATGTATTGCGTTGGTTCACTATAAACGGCGTATCACTTTTCAAATTGTTGCCACCAAATAATTTCACCCTGTACTATTTTTTAAAAAATTAAATAAGGAAGAATCTGCATAAATGTATGTATGTTTCTCGCACTATGACGAAACAACGTTACCTAGAATGTTTGAATGTATGGTTCTCACAATGTAAAAAACGACGGTGCAGTCGCACCAGAAAGCAGGGTATAGGGACGGGAAAATTTTGGTTTTAGAAGTATGAAACATTCCAAAATGGCAAAGTTAAAGGCGGATTGATTTTTTTCTCTTTTTTAGACTAATAATCTGGAGGGGGAAATCATTCGTAAGTATCAATTGCTAACTCCAGAATGTATGCTTTCCTTTCTTAAGGAAACAAATCATTGACGTAAGTTGAGCAGTCGTGGCATGAAAGGACTTTGCCCCACCCACATGTTGAAATGGTGTCCTCGTCCAGGAAATGCAAAGAATTTATGACACCACATTTAGAAAAGAGAGATTTCCCGTTTCTTAGGGATCTTTGAATGAATTCAAGGTCAAAGAAAAAGGGGCATGTTTTATGCGACAAAGCTAACTCCCTTTGCAATCCCAATTCAACGGGTTTTGTTGTGTTTCAACAAAGAACACAAAGTTTCATTCTGGTTGCTTAAACATTAAGCGGCAAATATTCCAGTTAATTTTTTTTCCTTAAATTTATCGAAATTCATGACTTCTTCTTCACTTATGGGGAGAGGAAATGGAATGGATGAATATTTTTACTTGAAATAATGAGTAAATCAATATTTATCGTATTTTTCATATCAAAATTTACAAAATATTCTCACATTGCAGATAAAGTGCAGGTTAAGAATTCTTTAAAATTCCTAAACGAGAATTAAATCTGAAGGCATAGAACTCGTAAATTGATTTGCTTTAGGAAAGAGAATAGCTGTGGTGTTTCTTAGTCTGTAAATTACTCATCTACCAAAAATTCACACTAATCTGTAAAAGATAATTCTGAAGATATTAAATTTGTTTTGAAAGAAATATTTTAATTTCCCTTCGTTTGAAAAAATATAATAAATTACAATTCATTTTAACAACGTGAAACATTTAAGCTTAGAATTCAGTAATGCGCAATAATTTGTATGTTATTTAAACGGAACTGAATTGAATTATTATAATAATAAAAGCACTCGAGGAATATTTGCCCAAGGGGAAGAACGCCTTCGTGGAGTACTTTCTAATCGTTATTTGAAATGAAAAAGTGTGTGTGTGTCTGATTGTAGCAAAGTCTCGAGGGCTATCTGCCTAAGGGAAGGAATGCCTTCGTGGAGGACTTTCTAAGGTAAACTGGCTCGTATACACATTACACATGGGGAAAACCACGAAAACGCCCATGCAGCCAGTCCGTTCGCGGGATTCGAACCTCGGACCGAACTACCAGTGTTCAGCGACTTTACCGCTTGGCGGTCGCTAGTGGGCCGTTATTTGAAATGAAACTTTAAAATTTACACTTTTGCTTTTAATTTATTTAAATTTTTATTCTACTTTTACTTTGCACAGCGTTCAGTACGTGAAATCATCAATAATAATATAATAATGATAAATAATAAAATGACATCATACAACTAAAAGTATATACTACTTCGTAAATTTCGATAAATTAATTACTGAAAATATTAAGCATATCAATGGCAGCGTTGGACCTAATAGTTTTAAGTTGCATTTCAACATCTGAAAGAACACGAATTACAATACAATGTTCATTCACTACACAGACGAATGGAAAAGAATTCTCCCACTTTTATTGCAATATTTCAATAATTTTCGCAATTAAAAAAAAATTAGTTAAAACGTTTTAGTGGAAAATGATGCGATTTTCACTCATAAAATCCCTTTTCGCATTATTCTCTTTCATTTTGGCATCACTGCGTAGCTTTTCTAAGACATAAATAGGTTCCGTTAATATATGTTTCCCATACATTATATGTATTTTTCATATTTTTGTCATTAATAAATTAATGTTTAAGATAAAAATGATACGGCTTAATTTATAAGCAATGTAAAAACTGGAAATCTGACGTAATTAATTTCTGAGCCAGAAATAGTTGTTTTAAGACGTAAATAAAAAATATAACAATAATCAAAAATATTAATGCTCCTAAAATATATCGTGATTTTTGTTTTCCTAACTGATTTTTGCTTTTTGATCCACCTGGGGTAAAAAAAAAAAAATCTATTTTCATTAAATGATGTTTTTCGCATTTCTCTAAGAAGTGCGCAAAACTTGTTTCATACAACTTTATTTTTAGTAATTATGAAGAAACTTTATACTTGTTTCCTAAACAAGTATTTATTTATGCTAATTTTAGAATCTATGCGACAGAGTACTCATCTTCAAATACGTTAGTGTCAATAAGTTTAACTACAAATTATTAAACATTTCTGGAAACTTGAAAGGTTTAATTTTAAAATGCGACAGAGTACTCATCTTCAAATACGTTAGTGTCAATAAGTTTAACTACAAATTATTAAACATTTCTGGAAACTTGGAAGGTTTAATTTTAAAATTTCCATTTCACATATTACACAGTCACCTTCAAAGCTCTTTGGATACAGGTCAATAAAATCCAAACTTATCACCATTAACAATGCGAATGTCTTCTAATATTAATAACAATATTGTTTTTAATTAACATGAAATATTTTTATGAAATAAATATGAAATATATGTTTTTCCATACATTAAGAAACATAATGACAGGCCAAAAAATAAAAAACAATTTTTTTTTAAACTTGTCCTGCGCTAAGTAGCAGCAGGATTGAAGTAAAATAAACTTAAAAAAGCATCTAAAGTTAAAATTAAATTGAAATCAAAGGAAGGCAATTCCTTGACGCTATAAATAACTGCAACCGTGTATAAGAGGTTTAACACAATATCTAAACAAATTTAAAATAAGAATTCATAGTAGCACAAACTCGAAAAATAAAAATGCAAAAGGGAAAACATACAAAATTATAAAAATTATTCTCCTTTTACTGAAACTCCAATTCAAAACTCATCAGAGAAAAATGAATTAAAGCTTCATAATAGTCGATTAATACGTTTTGAAAACATATTTCGTTGTCCTGGTTCATTTGAGATCTAAAACCGTAAAAAGAATCAATTAAATTTTCATTAAGACATTAAAATTGATATAAAACCGAGTTAGTAAGCC